AAGCTTGTGAGGAAAATAAAAATAGTATCTTAAAGAGAAAATATTAAAAACTAAGATATTGGAATCCTGACAAGAGAACATTTTGACTGTATGTAAAACAGAAAGAGCTTATGAGTGTCTAAATCATTCAGGCTCACCGGGATGAACTTTAACAGCAACTCGAGTATTAAACTAGAGACAATCTGGGTTTTCATGTCTCAGGAAATAGGATTTTCATTAGCTGTCCAACCAGTGGTGACAGATTCCAAAGATTATAAGGTGTCATTTATGCGGGACACCAAGGATGTACTAAGATACAGCCTGTCACCTTCCCCAGTAGCCTACTCATTTTATTAAGTCAGAGGCCACAAGAGTTTTCTTTTTTGCCCCTAACACTCTAATAGAGTAAAAATCTTGAAAGATGCACACTAAATTCAAATTTTGAAATATATTTGTCACAGAAGCAATGAGACATTGACATTGAATTTTGAAATGTCAAAATACAAAACACACACACACACGCACATACACACATACATACATTTTACCAATGAAAAAGCAATTAATTCATGTTTAGTTTAGCCGCACTTTTAATTTCAGAGATTATTTACCTAAGTTACTTGTTCTAACACTGAGAAAATAAAAGTTAAAAAAGTAAAGCTCAAAGAAATAGCTTAGTATTCATTTTCTACATTATACATTTCTGATGAAAGAAAGCAGGTAATGTATTTATCCTCTCCCAAGTGAAAATTTCCCCTCTCCATTTAGAGAAACAAAGCAAGTAATTGAGGGCTTTGTATTACAACTTCTATCAGTACAATATTCTGACGTTCAGTCCCCATTTAGTAACACTGACTCCATAGTCAGCGTTATAGGACATTTTGCAAGACTGACTGATAAATTTACAAGCCTATGAAGTAGATGGCTCTACTGTTCTCAAGAAAAGTGAGTTTTATTTATACACTTTGTGTGTGATGACTACATTCAACATCATAGGAAATTTGTACCTGTACACGACACAGCTTGATTCTTTTCTTCCTGTTCCTCTACTCTTGCTTCAACCCCACTTCTCCTTATTTCCAAGAGCTTTATTTTTGTTTTTTTACTGTGTAAAAAGTAAAACAAAATTTTAAAATAAAATAATGGAATAAAAACAGTTAATATATTACATGTAGTTGTCTTTAGTTTCTCAGGTAACAAGATGTGGACGTACACGCCTCTCCGAGCGATTTTAGCGCAGACATTCACTTTGTGTGCGTGTGAACTAAGAGTCGCCAGTAATATAACTGACTGCACGTTCCCTTTCGGCGCTCACCCCTCCCATTCCTTTGCTCTTTTGAATAATTTCCTCCCTTGTCACACTATCAATTGTACATTTTGGCTCCTATTTACCCTTTCTTCTACCAGGAAGAAAATATAATATTTACACATGTGAGTATTATTTATTTCATTTATTAGTGTGGTCTAAATTAGCATCATTTACCTATACAAGTCTCCAGTTTATGTTTCTTTGTGGCCAAGTAGTACTCCATTGCATAAAAATTCCACATTTTCTTATCTGTTCCTCAGGGGATGTGCATTTGGGTTGTTTCCACGATGTAGCTGTGATAAATGATACTGGTATGAATATGGGCACACATATGTTGCTGTGGTGTGACATTTTTCTTTCTTCTGGGAGGATGCCCAGAAGGAGTGTCTGGATTGATCAAATGGGACCTCTGATCCGTGTTTTGAGGAATCTCCACACTGATTGCCACAGTGATGAGACCAGTTTACACCTCTACAAACAATGGTGAAGGATTCCTTTTTTGCCACAGCCCCTTCTGCATTTCATCATTGGTTGATTTTTTGACGATAACCATTGTTTCTGGGGTGAAATGGAGTCTCAGTGTTATCTTAATTTGCATCTCTTCAATTACCAATGATATTGAACATTTTTTTCATACATTCATTTGTTATTTGTATTTCATCACATGAGAAATGTACATTCATCTCAGATGTCCATTTTTGAACTGGGTCTTTAAATTTTGGGGGTCTGACTTTTTTCAATTCCTTATATGTTCTAGATAGAAGCCCTTTGTCTGAGGGACAATTGGCTGGATTTTTTCTCTCTGCGGGTTGCCTTTCCACTCTGTTGGTAATTTGTTTTCCTATGTAAAAGAAATAAGATTGAATCCCAGTTGTCGATTCTTTGAAGCATTTCCCATGTAGTCTGGGTTTCTTAACTCTCTACACATACCTATGTCTTTAAGATTTCCACCTATTCTCTCTTCCAGTAGATTCAGGATTTCTGTTTTAATATTTAAATTTTGATCCATTTTGACTTTACTTTAGTGCCTGGTGATAAGCATTTCTAGTTTTAATCTTCAACATGTAGACAGCCAGTTTTTCTATCACCATTTATTAAAGAGGCTACCTTTCTTCCAGGAAACATATTTGGCCAGTTTGCTAGATAAAGTGGACAAGTGCATTTCTAGTTGTGTCTACATCTTCTAATCTGTTCCACTGGTTCTCAGATCTGTTTTTTGGCAAAACGATGCTTATTTTTAACACAATAGTTTTATAGTATAGTTTCCAGTCAGTTGTCTTGACCTTTTTGCTAAGGATTGGCTTTGCTGTTCTGTTTTTTCTGGTTCCAGGAAAATTTTAGGAATGTTTTATCTAGTTCTGTGAAATATACTCACGCTGTTTTGACTGGGATTACATTAGATGATCATTTATTGAGATGATCATTATATGCTAGGAGTATGGCCATTTTCACCATGATGGTTCTTCCTATCCATGAGCAAGGGATATCTTCCCATTTTCTGACACCCTCTTTGAATTCCTTTGTTGGAGTACTGTAATTTTCAATATATAGATCTTTTACTACCTTGATTATATGGATTCCTAAATATTTCCCCTTTTTGGATGACATTGTGAAGAATGTCATTTCCCTAATTTCACTCTCAGACAGTTTGTTCTTTCTGGACAAGAATGTTATTGATTTTTGAGTAATGCTTTTGTATTCAGTTAAGCCCCTGAATTTTGTTATTAAATCTAGAACTCTTTTGGTGCAGTCTGTGGTATCTTCTGTGTACAGTATCATGTCATCTGTGAATAATGATAATTTAATTCCTTACTTTCCTATCCTTATTACTTTTATTTTTTTCTTGTCTCATTGTTCTGGATGGTATTCCCAGAACTATAATGAATAGGAGTGGTGACAGTGAACATCCTTGTCTTGCTCCTGATTTTAGTGTGAAACTTTTAGTTTTTATCCATTTAGTATGATGTTGGCTGTTGACTTGTCAAGGATGGCTTTCATCAAATTGAGATAAAGACCATCTATTCTGACTTTTTCTAAAGCTGTTAGACTTTGTCAAATAATAAATGTTAGACTTTGTCAAAGCTTCTTCTGCATTTATTGAGATGATCATGTGATTTTTGTCTTTGATTCTGTTGTGTGATCTTTCACTTTTTTTTTTTTTTACCTTTTCCACATGTTGAATTATCTCTATATTCCTTGGATGAATCTCACTTGGTCATGGTATATAATCTTCTTGATGATTTGCTGCATTCTGTTTACTAGTATTAATTGGAGATTTTTACATTGATGTTTATTAGAGAGACTAGACTGTAATCCTCTTTGTTGGTGGACTCTTTCTTTGGTTTTGTTATCAAAGTAATGCCTCTAGGAAAGAGTTAGTGAGTACTGCTTCCCTTTCAATTTCAACAGCTTGAAATTAAATTTTCCTTAAATTTCTTGTGAAATGCAGAAATGAATTAATCAGGACTTAGGCTTTTGTTTGTTGGAAAATTTTTTAATTACGCTTTCAATTTCATTAACTGATACTGGGTTATTGAGACTTTTATATCTTGATTTAGCTTTGGTAATTCATACATGTCTGGGGATGTGTCCATTTCTTTTTTTTTTTTTTTTTTTTCTTTCTATCCTCTGAGAGTAAAGATTTTCAAAGTAGGTATTAATGATATTCTGCATTTCTATAGGAGCTGTAGCAATTTCAACCTTTTCATTCCTCATTGCATGAATTAGAGTCTTTCCTTTTTTGTAAGGCTGCTTAAGGGTTTATCAAATTTATTTATTCTTCAAAGAAAAAATTCTTTCATTCATTAATTCTCTGTATTGTTTTCTCAGGCTCAGTTGCATTAATTTCAGCTCTAGTCTTTATAATTTCCTCCCACATGATTCTTTGTGTGATTATAAAATAATCTTACAAAATGTGTCCTGTATTGTATTATTTCCCCTTGCAATATCCCCAAATCCTAACCGTAATGAAATGGACACATCCCTACATGTGTATGAATTACCAAAGGTGAATCAAGATATAAAAAGTTTCAATAATCCAATATCAGTTAATGAAATTGAAAATGTAATTAAAAATTTCCCAGCAAAGATGAGCTTTGGGCTTGACTTGCTCTTCTACTTCTAGAAGCTGCAGGTATTACATTAGGTTGTTTATTTGTGCTCATTCTGTTTTCCTGATGTGAGAATTTCAATTTTAGAATCTCGTTCAATGCCTCCCACATCTTCTACTAGGTTGTATCAGTATTTGCATTTAATAGCACATATTGCTTAAGTTTTTATTTTATTTCATAAGTTGTTCAGGTGAGTGTCATCTGATTTCCATGTATTTATGCAGTTTTGTAGTTTCTTTTGCCATTAATGTCCAATTTCATTGCACTATGGCTGGATAATATTCATAGAATAATTTCAATTCCTGCATAATTAAGTATTGTCAGGATTTAGGGTTATTGCAAGAACAATACAATACAGGACACATTTTGTAAGATTATTTTATAATCACACAAAGACTTATATACAAGGAGGGAAGGAAATCTGCCTACACACTAAAGGCCAAACACTCCAGCTGAAGGCCTGGATCCTACTGTCCTATGTAAGTCCAGCTGAAAACCTACAGCCCTTAAAAATGCCTCTCCCAAGTCCAGTGTCTCATGTAGGTCCACTTCACAAATCTGTGCTGGAAAGGCCAAAAGTCAGTGATGGAAGCTACAAAATCTATGCCAGCAAGATGAAGGATCTCTGCTAGTAGGCTGAGGGATCTGAACTGGAGCTGGGAAGCAATGCTCAAAGTAAGAACCGGGGCTCCCCCCAAGAATATCACAGCCATCCTCAGCCACAGTGAGGTCCCGAGCCCCGCCAGTGATAAGGAAGACTGAGTACCCATCAAGAAAGCCAACATGACAAGTTTTGGCAGGAAGGTGAGCAGTGCAATGCTCGAGATGAGGACCAGAGCTTCTGCACCATGACTGCAGCCATCCTCAGTGACAGTGAGGTCCCAGGATCCTCCTCTGACAGAAACATCCAAGTTCACCGGGAAAGCCAGCATGACAAGGTCCTCCAGCAGAACAGCCTCTTACAGTGCTGGCAACAACCCTCAATGGGTCTCCCACGCCTAGCACCACGCTAGTTCAACTCACTTAGGTGTAGCAAGTTGACTACCAGTTCACAGTCCACTACAAGCATGTTCTATGAGCTAGCACATAGTCTTCTGAAAAATGCCTCATGTGGAATTAAGGAGAATGTATATTCTGATGTGTGCTTGAACACTCTGTATAAATCTACCAAGTCTTTTTGTTCAAAAATTTGATTCAGTTTGATATTTCATTGTTGGTTTTTGGTCTAGTTTATCTATTTATGACAATAAGGTATTGTGTTCTCCCAATCATATTAGTGCTTATTTGATTTTTCAGGTCCATTAATATTTGCTTTGCATAGTTCAGTGCACTGGCACTTGAGGCATATATATATGACTATTGTCCCTTCCACTTTGATTGTCCCATTTCTGCATATGTAAGCACCTTCTTTGTGTCTCTTGGTCAGTCACGTCTTGAAATTCAGTTTTTCTTCAAATAGAATAGCTACCCCTGCTTTTTCTAGATTCCTGTCACATGGGAGATCCTTTTCTACCCTTTGCCATTCAGTCTGTGAATTTCTGTTTGAATTAAATGTGTTTCTTTTATGCAGCAGATTGCTGTATCTCGCTTCTTGACACATTCCTCCAGTCTACTTCTTTTGCCTGGTGGCTGGACACCATTTACATTGATGGGTTATAACTGATATGAACTGATACATCCTTGTTATTTTATTTTCCTGTTATTGGCTCTCTTTTTCTACCTCATTGCTTTGCCTTTCATGGTTGGATTCATTCTGTTGTGGTTCATTAAATTGTAGTTCTTTTAATCTATGGTCCTTCAGAACATTTTGGAGTGCTGACTCAGTGTTCATGCATTTCCTCTGGTGTTCTTTGTCATTGAAGTATCTTTCTTATGTATCAATTTTGAAAGATGGCTCTGTGAGGAACATGAACCTGGATTATGTAAATGAATCTAGAATTATGTTGAGTTGAAGAAGCTATAATAAGGAGAATATGTGGCAGATGATTTTATCTTAGTAAAGTTCTAGAAAATGTAATCTTGTTTGTACGAACAGAAAACATTCTTTTTGTTTGTTTGTTTGTTTGTTTTTGGCGGAACTGGGGATTGAACTCAGGCCCTTGCACTGGCCAGGGAAGTGCTTATTCCACTGAGCTATCTCCCCAGCCCCCAGAAAATACTAGCAATGGGCGAGGTGAGGAGGATGGGGACGGGATGTACACAGACAGTTTTTCAAGTTGAACATGTACAAATAATTGTTTTGCATATACCTGTCTATATATTTTTAAATATTTTATTTAAAATATGTACAATTTATTATGTGTCAATTATTTCCCTACAAAACTGTTAAAAATGGTAAAAGTCATAGCGTTTGTTTCAGGAAAGGAGGAAGAGGCTTAGAAATTGGTAAATCCAAAGCAGCCATCACATTACCAAAAGGATGAGGATGACTGGCTCAGTTGAATGAGGGAATTGTGGAGATAGAAATCTGGATTTATAGACGGTGCCCAGGTGATAAAACAGCTCTGCACCTGTTAGCTCCAGATTTCCTGCAATAGAGGAAAAGTAAATGCCAAATGTCTAATTATCTAAGCAACTGATAGTAGTTTTTTTTTTAATTATATGCAGTGGTATAAAATACTGACTGATGAAAATTTTAAGATATAACAAAAAGAAGCCTGCTTTAAAAAAAGACAAGAGAGAATTAATTTGTTTCAGAAATATGGGCTGTTAAACAAACAGAATGCAAGTAATACACGTATAGAACGCAAGCGATCGCAATCTGAATAGGATGCAATCTGAATTATGGTTCAGATCCAGATGTCCCCCAAAGGCCTGAGGAATTCAGAGGGGCAGTTCTGGAAGGTGATCAGATCCTGGGGGTGCTGTACCATCGATAGATTAGCCCACAGATGAGGTCAGACCCATATTTCTTTTCTTTCTTTTTTCATTTATGTATTTGGTACAGGATCTTACTATGCAGCTCAGATTCATAGCAATCCTTCTGTTTTTCAGGCTCCCCAGTGCTGGGATTACAGACATGCAACACCACACTTGGACTCGGTTGCCAGCTCAGCATGTCCCAGAGGTGGGGCCAGCGCAGCATGAGGGACCGGGAATCGAATGCTTGTCCCTGCACTTGCCAAAGCAGGTGCTTAGAGAACCATATTTCTATTAGCAAGGAGCTCTTGCTGGAGCTTAGCCACTGTGCCATGGCTTGGAAGAGCAAACCTCCCTTCACTTCTCTCCCTGCCCCCTCTGCTTCCTGGCCTCCATGAGGTGAGCAGCTGCCCTCTGCCCAGGCCCTTCCACCAGACCTTTGCTGTCTTGGAGCCAGCCTGTGACAACCATGACACTGGATGAAGCTCCCAGTCTTTAAACTGTGGATGTCAGAAATTTGGTCCCGGCAATAAGAAGTAGCTAAGGTAGTTGGAAAGAAACAATTATGAGAAGACAGAACCTGGGTACATGGTAGGATCTGGAAGTGGTGCTGCAGGCAGAGACAGTTGTATGACAAAAACAAGGAAGGAAGCTAAGCCCTGAAAGCCTCGTTTTCACAGCAGAATGCATTCAAAATAGTGAATCATAGTTGAATGCAATGATAATTCAGAAATAAAATCAAACAAGCTGTACAGCAAGGATCTTGCTAGTGTGGAATAGGATACAAGGGAAAGGATACTTAGCTCCATCATTGTTTCAGTTTCCTTTTTGTAAAGAATAGTGATAAATTATGCACACATAGAGCGAGCATTTTTAAAAGATTGCTAATCTCTCTTCTTTAGAATAGATAAATTAAGTAACAATACACAGGAAATTTCATATTTTATTTCATTTTACCTGTGACCATTTGACAAACATAAGTTAAGTCTGTTATGTCACACATTTTTCTTTTTTAATACAGTGTAACCAAACTCACAGGAAATTCATCGGGACCCAAGACACGATAACCAAATGCAAGGCTTCAAGTTGCAGCCATAATTTCAGCACCACAATGCACTGGGCATTTCACCTTTTCCAATGAGATCAAGATAGTCCTGTTGGCTACCTAAAAAGCCAGCTTAAGGAGAAATCATAAAACAAAATTATTATGAGGTTATTGTAATACTTCTGTAAGATTTTGAATTTCAGGTTGATAGATGGATAGCACCCCTCTAGGCATCAGAACCATAATTTTTTCTCTCAAATTTCCAACACGATAATGAATGTTGTGTTAGTGGTCTGTTGATTTAGGTCCAGCGTCATTTTTTTTTAACTCAGATCTGCTGACCAAAGTAATCTATTGCCTTTCCTTTATTATTCATACCCATAATGAGCAATCTATCATTGATTTCAAATTTTGCTTTCTTTAAAATTGCATCAAGACCTAACCTAAAATCACTTGAGAGGCAATCTAGCTATAAGCTCTTTTCTTTTTAGAGTTTAATGATTTTTCCACCCACACTTAATTTAACAGCCTTTTAAAAGCACCTCACTTTCATTAAGTTTGCACAAAATATTCAAAAGTTTTTTAACAATTTTATTTATTTACATTTCATAGGTTTACATAATAGTTGTTTAAATCACTTCATGGCAAAATAAGTGCAACTGACATAAGCACTTTGGCACAACAACTCCAGACAGAGCTCACTCCGAGTCTTGTGGTCAGCTATGCATGTCTTCGTGGGCATGCAAGAATATTGAAACTTCTTGGGTTTCTGGGATTTTGCACATGATGAACTACACTTTCTGGAAGTCATCCTCCCTTGAGGTTAAGATGGGGCACATTAAGCAGGAGGCAAGTGACCTAGATCCTTTTTTGTCACTAAACAGCATGGCGGTTGATTTTCTAATGGTACCGATGGTCATTAGCCTTGGTTTTCAAAAGCTGCAGGGTCCCTGATGGTGCAGGCTCCAAGCAACACTTCTCTTCCCACAACCAGTATGACTTCTTGGCTATATACTTCCCCAGAATCAAGTGTCTAAGACTAAAGAACAGTATTGACCTGAAGCACACAGTTCCACAGTTTATTTTGATAATTAAAAACTCTAACTTTTTGGCTATATAGAAATTTTATTATTTATTTATTTATTTATTTATTTTGTATTTAGGACAGAGTCTACAGATTCATAGTGATCCTCCTGTTTGCAGCCTCCCAAGCACTGGGATTACAGGCATGTGGCACCATGCACAATCTCAGTCATCATCTCAGCATGCCCCAGGGGCAGGGCCAGCACAGCATGCTGGGGATCAAACCCCAGTCCCTGTATGTGCCTAAGCAGGTGCTTTAGTCTGCCGAGCTATCTGGCCAGCCTGGGTTTGTTATTTTAAAGACAAACTACACTGAACCTACATGTATTGTAGACCACTGGGCCTTCAGGCAAAGACTGGGGTGTTCATACAGGGCTCAGGAGCATTTGGGGTGCAATAGGGTCATGGGGTGTGAAGCAAACAGAGGCCATGTTCAGAGTCCTGCTTCTGTTCCGTTGTGCCAGCCCCCCAAACATCAGGGTACTCTTGGCACAAACCACACTGTACTGCCTTTCATGGAGGTCTGGGGAGATAGCTCATATGTTGAATAACTTCCCTCTTTAAGCTAGCCAGAAGATTATCTGCCATACAAAAGTCACAACTGTAACCAACACACTAGATATCCTTGTGGATGTTGGGTAAGGGCAGAAGTTTGCAGGTTCTCTAGTGGATGGTCTCCTCATTACGAATGTGCTGGAAACGCTGGTCTGTTCTCTGGTAGAATAGAGACTGAGCTGTCAGCGAGGAATGCCTGCTGGCTCATGACGAGCGCTGTTCTTTCTGCTGATCACATTGTGGATGCCAGTTATTTGGAGTCATGACTGGGGTGACTCAAAGAGCTGCACAGAGCTGGCTTGGTGCTGTTATGGGTGGGTTTGTGGAGTAAGAAGAGAACTCTCCAGGTTACAAGGTAATGTGACCGTATTCTCTATCATTCTTTCTAGTAGAACCCAAAGCAACTACAAATCATA